TTTTAGGCTTTTTAGGAGTGATTTTGAACGGCTTTGTAGAATAATGTGCTAGGGTCTGTACGGATTTGGGGGTTTCTTCCTTGGATCGCACAAGTTTTTCGGCGAAGGATTTGTTTTTCTGTCTGAAATTCGGGATCTTTAGGACTCATCTCTTACTAGAGCTACCCACTTTTGCTTTGAATCGGGGGACTTAACAGACCTGGGTTTGAAATCATGATGCTTTATCATCTTTTGGGGGTTTGCTCGATTTGAGAGGTTAGAGGTAATTTCTTGTCAAAGTTGTAAATATGTATGAACAAAGAGTAGATTCAATTGGGTTTTCTAGGAGAAACAGTTTTGAGTTCTATTGAATCTGTACATCAGATGTAACAAAGTTTTCATTTTCCGACTAAGGTAGTGCGAAAGATAGGGGTTTTTCATAGGATTTTCATGGGTCATTCACTAATCAATCTAGGAGTAACGGTTTGATTATGATTTTATATGCCTGGGAATCAATCTATGACATTCTCTAGTAGAAACTGAACTGATATGATTCGTGTTTTCAATTGCAGTGCTATCCATCGTCTGAGTAATTAAGTAGCCTCGGAACTTGAACCTGGAAATAGATCTCGGTGAATATCATAAGAGTGATTTGAGGAAATTTTGTAGTTTGAAGAAACTCTTCCAAGCTGTGAATCGGGTCATGAATGCGTGTCTGGGGACATGCTCGAACCAAGGGGAGCGGACATACCGATATTGTTCCTGGTTTTGGTTGTACTTCCAGTGGTAGCTTACATATTATTAGGAAAATGGAGTGACACTTCAGAGAAAAGAGGGAGGGTTAAGTTGCTGGCTCAGATGGCAGCTGAAGAAGCTTTAAGAGCTGAGACCGTGGTTAATACAAATAGGGCTTTAAGATTTGAGACTGTGGCTTCTGATAATAGGGCTCTAAGAACCAAGACCAAGACTGTTTCTGCTGCGAGTGGAGCTGTAAGAGATGAGTCTGTGGCTGGTCTGAGTGGAATAAAAGCTGAACAGAGATCTGATTCTGTGGCTGCTACACGTGGGGTTCCAGTTGTGGTTCCTTTCGATAATAATGAGTTACATGTATGTGCAAAGTGTTTTGGTCCTGCTAAGACACGTTGCTCGAGATGCAAATCTGTTAGATACTGGTATATTTCCATCTGTTTTGATTTCAGATATTCTTTCTTTAATTTTCTTCTTTCGATCTCTTTGAGCTATTAAATGATGTTTTGGTGCGGATAGATGTTGTAGACATAATAACCCATGAAAGTCTTGATTTTTCACGTTTGTAGCTCCGGGAAGTGCCAAATAATTCACTGGAGGTTAGCTCATAAAGATGAATGTGTCCCGGTGGAGACTTGCTCTCCTTCATCTGAGAGGGTTTCCTTTGAGAACGATTCTGTTTTGTATAATTACGGAATGGATTCTACAATGTATAGTAACAATATTAAGCAGGCAGCAAAGGGAAAGACTTCCAAAAGCTCTGTAGAATTTGCAAGCTTGGGTATCTCTCAGATTGATATTACGCCAGAAGTCAATACACAAGGGAGAAAAGGCGTTGGAAAACGGAATTCTTCCAAGTCTAACCGAGAATCATCTAGAAGTGATGGTGCTATTATGCTTGATTCCTCTGAAGAAGTTTCTCGTAGTGAAGCAGCTTGTGTTAGTGGCGACAATAAGAAGGGTCACACTAAACATAAGGTAAGCTTTCTTAAACATATATCTCGTTGGTTTAATGCACGAAAGCCAAAACATTTCTTGTGAAAAGTCGACATGATGCTTGAAATTTTAATTTGCTTGCAGTCGAGAAGCAGCAGCTATAGTGTGGAAGCAAATCCTATCAGGCATTCTGTTGACAACTCTTGTATGCAAATGAATGGACAACATTTTGCAAGTGGTCTTCAGGAAAGTCACAAACATGAAAACAATTTGGGAGCAAGAAGCTCTTTTGATTGTCCAAACGCACACTTTCCTCCGAATGGTGGGGCTAATAAAAATTACTCTAGTGGAGATTAATTTAGTTTGAGATATGCATCCTCTAATGTGGATTTTGATTGAACAGGGACCAGAACTGCTACGCTGCCCAAATCAGGTGTTACAAGATATGGAGAACAATCATGCACAGAGCCAAGTAAGAAGGGACAACTCGCTGCAGTATCAAGTGAGCGTCTCTGAGATTTTTCTTTGACATAAGAATTCTTCTGTAGGGTGTTCTCATGTTGTATCTGTAATCCAGAGACTGTTAGGGCAAAGGATACTGGCATTGCTGAAGAAAGCAATGGCATCTCCTCAACCATGGGATTAATGAAGATGATGGGTTTAAGAAATTCTTCAAAGCATGATGATCGACATAAGAACCTGAAAGTGAGTTCTTTGGTGATATTATTGTCTCTGTGCAAATTCAATTTTGTATCTTTATTTTCTACTTTTCTGAATCAATAACCTCTTATTTTCAGATGCTTTTTCCATATGAGGAATTTGTTAAATTCTTTCAGTGTGAAGTGTTTGACTTATCACCTAGGGGACTTGTAAATTGTGGAAACAGGTACGATCTCAGTTTATTTTTTTCAATTGGCTTAACTGCAAAACTGAGGATTGTTTTTATAGTAGGAAGATCATTTAGTATAAATGTCCTTACCGGTGTTTATGCTTTCTTAATTTACTATCACTTTTCTGCTCCAGTTGCTATGCGAATGCTGTCTTGCAGTCCTTAACATGTACAAAACCACTCGTTGCTTATTTGCTTCGACGATCACATTCAAGATCATGTAATGCTCTCCCCAATTAAACTTGTGGTATAATGTTTTTGCAGATTTAGTAATACTTCTGACAAAGATAATGTTTTTCTTTCGCAATAGGTTCTGGGAAAGATTGGTGCCTTATGTGTGAACTTGAGCAACATGTAATGATGCTTAGAGAAAGAGGAGGCCCACTTTCTGCTAGCAGAATTCTGTCACACATGCGAAGTATAAATTGTCAGATTGGTGATGGGAGTCAAGAAGATGCTCATGAATTCTTAAGGTTTCTCGTCGTAGTCCTTACAGATCTGAATTTTAGGATCCTTTCTTCTTAATCTGAATATATTTCACTATTTAATACCGAACTCTCATGAAATTACCATATTCTTTTGACTTGGATGTAGGCTTTTGGTTGCCTCTATGCAATCCATATGTTTGGAGAGACTTGGAGGTGAGACTAAAGTGGATCCAAGACTGCAAGAAACAACCTTAGTTCAACATATGTTTGGTGGACGTCTCCGTTCAAAGGTGCTTAAATCTCCTGACTCATGATCTCTGTCTACTTTTACTTTACACATTCTCACTATTTCTGCTGCTGTCTTTTCCTGAAATACCAGGTGAAATGCTTGAGGTGTGATCATGAATCAGAAAGATATGAGAATATAATGGATCTCACATTAGAGATATATGGTTGGGTAGAATCTCTTCAAGATGCCTTAACTCAGTTTACTAGACCGGAAGACCTCGATGGAGAAAATATGTATAGATGCAGCAGGTTAGATCCAAAAACCAAATTGGCTTCTCCTTCTATTGTGACATTGAAACTAAATTTGTAACTTGTGTAAAATTCTTTGAAAAAAGGTGCGCTGGATATGTTCGAGCAAGGAAAGAATTGAGTATTCATGAAGCACCAAACATTCTCACAATTGTTCTCAAGAGATTTCAGGTATCAATTTACTTAAGATGACTAGAGAGATTTCCATCTTTGGTTAGTGTGTTTGTCAGTTTTATTCTTGTATGTACTTATAAAACTCTTGTGTATGCAGGAAGGAAGATACGGGAAAATAAACAAATGTATAAGTTTTCCTGAAATGCTAGACATGAATCCTTTCATGACAAGAACCGGAGATGTTCCTCCGCTTTATATGCTTTACGCTGTTATAGTTCACTTGGATACTCTCAACGCATCTTTCTCGGGTCATTATATTTCCTATGTCAAAGATTTGAGAGGCAATTGGTTCAGAATCGATGATTCTGAGGTAAGAAAACTAGTTTGCATCCTCCTCATCCTTAATGCAGCAAACGATACGGTTTATGAACTTGTGCAATTTTCTCTTTAAAATTCTGCAGATTCATCAAGTGCCAATGACTCAAGTTATGTCAGAAGGAGCTTATATGTTGTTTTATATGAGGTAAGAAACTACCAGCTTGCGACTTCTAAACGGTTTTTCCCTACATTCTAGAGTCACAGATTTTTTGAGTTGTATCTCTGCAGATCGTACCCGCGTCCTCAAAGAGGAGAACAGAACGGAAAAGCTCAGGTTCGGCATTCGCAGCCAAGAGACGAGATGAAGGAACAGAGGAAACCAACTAACCGCTTCAAACCGAGAGCAGACCACCACATCCCGGAGTCATCATCAAGCGAATGGTCTCTCTTCACGAGCTCAGACGAAGCTTCAATGACAACAGAATCAACCAGAGACTCATTCAGTACAGTAGACTACACGGATGTCTGCCACGTCGTAGACACTTCTTCTCCCTTCTCCATCTTCAACAACTTATACCACAACGTGGAGCCATCGCCACACAACACCGTCGCTTGTAGAATGTTCTCAGGCACCAAACCCGAAACCCGGTATTTCGTGGAGGAAGAAACAAACCACAACAAGACGGTCGTGATGGACTCGTCGTCCCAGGATTATTACCAGCAGAGTATGTATGTAAATTATGAGACTAACCCAGGATTTGACAACGGTCAGGATCGAACTTACAGTTACTGGTAGTAGAAGAGACACTAGAGAGGATTCTGTTTTGAAACCTCCCATGATTTTTAAATATATGTTTAGATCTCTTTTAGGGAAACTTAACTCAAGTGCCCTGAA